CGGAAAGCTTATTTATTCAGCTTTCAGATGATGTATAAATCTCAATATCGAAAAATTTACCCTTATGACTGGTTTTGTGGTCCAGGGTCACATATAGTAAATTATACATAATTACATGCAACTAATCCTAAACCAAACCCTATTCCTGATTCTAATTCTAAGTACATGTTCTTAATTAATATTACTCAGTACTTAAATGTATAATTGCACTTAAACAGGGACACTTTAAAATAAAGTGTAACTTTTTTGGATTGTGAGATTATTTTCATTTAATTGATTGAAATATGACCTGAACATTTTGGTGACAGTAAATGAGTCATCCAACTAGTGACTTTAACAGCTTTTGGCAAACATCTCTGCGTGTTAGTACCCTTGAGAGCCTAATATACACCGCATATGTTCTCACATGCTCTGTTTGTGTGTGTGTGTGTGTGTGTAGGTCCAGAAGGCGTCTGAAGAGGTCTTACTGCTGAGGCTGCGTAACCCCTGGGGGTTTGTTGAGTACTGTGGACCCTGGAGTGACAAGTGAGAAAGACCTCAGCAGATCATTTTCTTACCATCTCCGGGCTGCTAAAGACTGCACATTTGTGTTTGTGTGTGTGCAGGTGTCAAGACTGGGATTTTATAGATAATGCTCAGAAGGCCAGACTTGAGTTGGCCAAAGTTGAAGATGGAGAATTCTGGTAGGTAAATGTACACTGTACACAATTCTTCCTGACACATTTCCATAACTCACACAATCAGAATTTTATCTTGGGACATGCATAGAAACGTTATTATTTGTATATGAAAACATTTCATGTCAGATAAATTGTAAAAAAATAAATAAAGTGGCTTTAGTAGCTCTGCAGCATGCTAAAAATAGAAACAGGCTGCTCATCAACTGAAGACGCAACTGGTGCTTCCAGTGTAGACAGCACCATTGATTTTATCATGGGAGTGATCTCCTCACACACACACACACACACACACACACACACACACATCTCTATCTCTGTCTCTCGCTATTGTTGAGCACTTGCCAAACAGGAATCAATTAAATGCCAAGAATTATATAACACTGCTAATATAATAACTGCAACTGCAGTCAGCGCATCCCTTAATAGGCCATTCTGTTAAAGGAATAGTTCACCCAAAAATGAAAATTCTGTCATCATTTAGTTGTTCCAAATTCTGCATGAGTTTTTTCTTTCTTTCTGTTGAACACAAAAGAAAACATTTGGAAGAATGTAACCAAACAGTTGACGATAACCATTGATTTCCATGGCTACCGTAAACTGGTTACCAACATTCTTCAAAATATCTTCTTTTGTGCTCAACAGAAGAAAGAAACTCGTACAGGTTTGGAACAGCTTGAGGGTGAGTAAATGGTGACACAATTTACATTTTGGGGTGAACTATCCCTTTAAATCTGCCTGTGTCTGCACTTCATAAGCATTTATGTTTTTTTAGGATTGGAATAGAGGACTTTTCCCGGCTGTTTAATACAGTGGAAATGTGCAGTGTGAATCCGGACTCTATGTCGGGGGAGGCGAGTGATGACACAGCCACCCCGTCCTGGACACTGAGCTCACATCAAGGCACCTGGGTCCCAATGTGCTCTGCAGGGGGCAGCCGACGTTACCCCAGTAATTTCATGTTTGTTAACGAATATGTCTGCTTTATATATAATAGAATAGAATAGAATTAATATACAGTTCAAAAGTTTGGGACAAGTAAGATTATTTTTCAGCAACATTCAGTACATTTATGATTTTACAAAAGATTTCCACTAAACTATTAAGCAGCACAACTGTTTTCAACAAGAAAATATACCGGTAATACACTTAGACAGTAATAAAGTAGAAGTATGGTTATTTTTCACTATTATTTATTTGCTCTAAAAATATTTGTACAATGTAACTACTTCCTCAACATGCTTCCTCATCACTTATTCCACTTATTCAATCCTGCAGGATCTTTCTGGAAAAATCCTCAGTTCCAAGTGATTCTGTCTGAGAAAGATGTGGACGACTATGATTATGGAGAGGATGAGGAAGGGGAGGAAGGAGATGGAGAAGACGATGAAGAAGGTGTTGTGGTGGCTCCTATGAGCAAGACTGAGAAACAGGGAGAGAAAAAGAAGTGCACGGTACTGGTGGAGCTTCTCCAGAAATACCGCAGACAAAAAGATAAAGTCCACTTTCTCTACATCGCATTTCACATCTACAAGGTGAGAGATTAGGACCCCCGTTACATATTATATAAAACTGAGAGGTGCATTTTAAGCCAGGCCTCTAATACAGTATGTCTATAGTATCATAGTAATGTATTTTCATACTTTATGATGCAAGTCATTAAATTAATCATTATTGATGTATAGAGTGATGCACATTACATACTTTTATTAAATTGATATAATAATTTATTAAAATGATAATAAAAATGAGACTGAAGACTGGAGTAATGGCTGTGGAAAATTCGGCTTTGCCATCATAGGATTAAATTACACTTTCAAATATGTTGAAATAGAAAACAGTGTCATATGCTATTTTAAATTGTAATAATACTTCACAATATTACTGTTTTAACTGTATTTTGGATGAAATAAATGCAGCCTTTGTGAGCATAAGAGACGTCTTATAAAGAAATTTTTAAAAATTCTATACACTGTACATACTGTGTGTGTATGTACACTATATACAAAATATATAGGCACATACAAATACTGTCACATATGTTGTGTTTTGTGTGAAGGCTAATAAAAATATGTTAATAATAAAATCACAATTATTTAATAATTAAAAATCATTTTAATGTGGGAGGGACAAAGAAACAATTAGCTCCATTTTCATCTTTGCAACTTTAGCTTTTTTTATTTGTTTAATGCATATTTGAACGTTTTTTTTCCATAGCAAATTTATTTAGCCCTTTTTTTCTCTCTTGTCTTACCTCTTCATTCTCTTTTTCAGGTTCCCCCTGAGGTGAGCAGCTGAATGAATATCAGCTAGCAGCATTCTCAGTCTTAAACACTCATCTAAAACATTTCTTGATACATACAAACACACTTTCACATCTTCTCTACCCTTAGCTGCAGGACAAACCAGGATCTCTGGACCAGCAGTTCTTCTCCAACAACCGTCCAGTTGCTCGCTCTGGAAAGTACCGTAGCATTAGGAGCGTGTGGCGGAAGGTGCACTTAGAGCCTGGCAGTTATGTCATCGTAGCCTCCACCTACAGGCCCAACCAGCAGGGGGAGTTCTTCCTCCGTGTTTACACCAAAACCGGCAACATACAGGGGTACAAAGAATGAAAAACATCTCATTTCTATCTGTTCTGCATTGTGATTTTGGCACAATGCTGTTTACAGTATGTCTGTCCAGCAGTTAACCATATAAAAGTTTCAAATCTGCTTTATAGGTTCCAGGATTTCCCCTGCATCAACAACTACTCTGTGGTAAGACATCTACTGACTGAAATGAGAAAGAAGAACAACCGTCTGTGTCTGTGTGATAATATTTTTATTTTATATTACTCTCACCATTTATGTGTGTGTGTGTGTGTGTGTGTGTGTGCTTGTTGTTCCGTAGATGGTAATGTCAAAGCCAGTCTTACCTGAGGATCTGTTTAGAGTGCAGAAGTGGTTTGATGAAAAGGCTGGATCAGTAAGCATCTCAATCCCTTCCAGTCACATTCTAGTGTGAAAAAGATTTGTGGGCATCTGATGAATCATTGAAGAAAGCAAACATCTCCAAATATGTCTTTATGTTTTTCACTTTCCAGGATGACAGAGTGAATGCTGTGCAGTTTATGGATCTGGTGAACTCAGGTCAGGATGGACACATTTAGCACAAGTTGTCACCACAGGGATTGTGTACAACATTTAAGCAAACATACTTACTGTACCACAAATAGCCACAAGGTGGAAGTGTTATGTAGCTTCTCTTACAAGGTAGTTAAGTCGGTGAGATGAATTCAAGCAGCATGTTGCTATACATTCATCTACTTGTATGCATGTAGAAAAAAAACCCGTAAAAAGTGTAAATAAAAATTACTACTGTATAAATAATGTTTATATAATACATTATTGTTTATATAATAAAATGATTTACACATGACAGTAGCATCCATATCAGTAGCCTAAAGCTTTATTTTTTCTTGAAGTGGGTCACCATGTCATAATACATGACTCACTAAACGTTTGCTTTTGGTTCACACTTGTTTCTGTTTTAATTGTGTTTTAGTGCTGGAAAAAGACTATGAACTTCCTCTGGAGACCTGCAGACAGCTCATCTTTGGTGAAGATGTATCCTTCTCACTGTAGCTATATATATATATATATGAAGAGTTTATTTGCAAAAACAGATAACTCATGTTTTTGTTGTGTGTTATTGTGTTAGTTAGCTGTATTTTTTTTTTTTTTTTTTTAACTTAATAAAAATCAGATTGAGTTGGGCAGGTCATTCCACCAGGGGGGAACAGTTAATGTAAAAGTCTGTGAAAGTGAAGTAGTGAATATATATACAGTGGTATGCGAAAGTTTGTAAACCCCTTGCAGAATCTGTGAAAATGTGAATCATTTTAACAAAATAAGAGAGATCATACACAATCCATGTTATGTTTTATTTAGTACTGTCCTGAGTAAGATATTTTACATAAAAGATGTTTACATTTAGTCCACAAGAAAAACACGATGCATTAAGAGCCGTGGGGTGAAAACTTTTTGAATTTGAAGATCAAGGTAAATTGTACTTAATTTGTCTTCCGGGAAACATGCAAGTATCTTCTGTTGCTTCCGAAGGGCTTTCACTTGAAGGAAAAAAATACATGTATATTTTTCTTCCATTCTTGGTTGATATTCTTAACGGCTGTGTGTAGACTGGTGGCAGAGGCCGTCTGAACAGAGCTCAGGCAGAGAAGCTGCTCACCTCCCTACGCAATCTGCAGTCTCTTAGTTCTCATGCGTGAAAAGGTCACTCTCAGCTTTGGCACAGTGTTAGAAAGAGCAGTGAGGACACTGAGCTGTGACAATTATCAGGTTGTGTTAGGCTACATGGAGCTCGTCTTGCACAGACCAAAAGACCTTGAAATGTTGTTGCTGTTGTTGTTTATCCTGTTTAAGAACTCATTTGCCTCGGTGCTCTGTGCCATTGTCATATCAGAACTGAATCGCAAACACTGGCTTCCTTTCAAGAAAACATGGAGAAACTACTGCTTGATATTACAATTCATAATTCTTTTCCTCCGCAGTCTGTCTTTTTCCAGTTTGATGAGGATTCATCAGGAACTATGAGTCCGTTCGAACTCAGTTTGGCTCTGAATGCTGCAGGTGATCACATATGTACACAAACACCACACCCTGTGTTAATATACAAAGGGAAAGTTACAGTCTATACACTCCTCTGCAGCACTCACGTTCCCTCCCCACCCTGCTGTGTCTGTTTCTGCCCTCAGGTGTGGAGTGTGACAATGTTGTGGTACAGTTGTTGTGGGAGAGGTTTGGCGCTGGTGAACAATACCTGCCTTTCTGTGGCTTTGTGTCTTGTGTTGCCAGACTGCAGGTGCTCTTTGGTAAGTCCATGACCAGAGAGTTCTTCCTATCCATTTTGCAACACTATCCTTATTTAGCAATGCAGAAGTAAGCTATTTTGTGTGAATGTCCGAGACTTCTGATTCATTAGCCTCTATATGTACTAGAAGAATAGCAAAGTATCTAAACTTCCATTCTTTATCAACAGTTCACAAAACGCATACAGACTAAATTTTATAGTCTGCATCTGGACAAATTATTCAGCATCTGGACAAATTTGTTTCTGGAATGATTCCTAATTTGAAATGCAGCATACACTACTTCAGAGGTTTGGTTTCAAAGAAAGTAATGCTTTTGTTCAGCAAGGATGCGTTAAACTGATCAAAAGTGACAGTAGAGAAAGTTAGAAGGTTACAAAAGATTTCTATTTCAAATAAATGCTGTTCATTTGAACTTTCTATACATCAAAGAAATCTGAAAAAAAAAAAATGTATTACAGTTTCCACAAAAATATTAAGCAGCACAGTGGTTTTTAACATTGATAATAATAATAAGAAATAATAATAAAAATACTAATATTAATAAATGTTTCTTGACTACCAAATCTGCATATTAGAATGATTTCTGAAGGATCATGTGATACTGAAAACTAGAATAATGGTGGCTACCGAAAATTCAGCTTTGCTGTCACAGGTGTAAATGACATTTTAAAATATATTTAAATAGAAAACCGGTCTTTTAAATTGCAGTAATGTTTCACAGTATTACTTTTTTTACTCTTTCAAAATAAAATAATTGTGGCCATAGTGAGCATAAGAGGCTTCTTTTTTTTAAAAATGTAAAAATCTTACCAACCCCAAGCTTTTGAAGGGTATGTGTTCCTTTATAATACAGGTGCATCTCAATAAATTAGAATGTCGTGGAAAAGTTCATTTATTTCAGTAATTCAACTGAAATTATGAAACTCGTGTATTAAATAAATTCAATGCACACAGACTGAAGTAGTTTAAGTCTTTGGTTCTTTTAATTGTGATGACAATGGTCATTTTATTAGCTACACCTGTTTAATATCCAAACAGCCAATCATGCAGCAGCAATTCAATGCATAAAAGCATTCACACATTTAAATAACAATCAGTTGTCATTCAATCCAGAAGTCGGAATGAGGAAGAAATATGATCTAAGTGACTTTGACCATAAAATAATTTTTAGTGCAAGACAGAATGGTTTTAATTTCTCAGAATCTGCAGATCTTCTGGGATTTTTGTGTACAACAGTCTGTAGAATCTGCAGAGAATGGTGTAAAAAAACACACACACACAAACATCCAGTGAGTGGCAGTGCTGTGGACAAAAATGGCTTGTTATTCAGAGAGGTCAGAGGAGAATGACCAGACAGGTTCAAATGTATGGGAAGGTGACAGTAACTGAAATAACCAGGCATTACAGCTGCGCTGTGCAGAAGAGCACCTCTAAACACACAGCATGTCAGATGTGGCAATGGACGTGTTACAGCTGCAGCAGACCACAGGTTCCACTCCTGTCAGCCAAAAATAGGACACTGAGGTTACAGTGGGCACAAACTCACCAAAGCCTGTCAGTAGAAGACTGGAAAAACATTGCCTGGTCTAAGGAGTCCATTTCTTCTGTGACATGCAGATGAAGGGGTCAGAGTTTCTTGTAGACAGTGTGAATCCATGGATCCATCCTGTGGGAGGTCCAGGTCTAGAATCTCTGAGCATCTTGTTGAACCCATGTTATGATGAATTACGCCATTGTGAGGAAAAGAACACACAGAATTTAAAAGCTTAAAGGATTAGTTCACTCAAAAATGAAAATTTGCTGAAAATGTACACACCCTCAGGCCATCCAAAGATGTAGATGAGTTTGTTTCTTTATTGGAACAGATTTGGAGAAATTTAGCATTGTATCACTTGCTCACCAATGGATCCAGCAGTGAATGGGTGCCGTCAGAATGAGAGTTCAAACAGCTAATAAAAGCATCACAATAATTCACAAGTATTATCCACACGATTCCAGTCCATCAATGAATGTCTTATAAAGTGAATAGCTTGTAAGTGAATAGCTTGAAGTGTTTGTAATAAATAAATAAATTAAGAAATTTTTAACTTCAAACCATTGCTTCCTGCTAAAATATGAGACCACCATCCATAATATTGTTTCCTCCAGTTAAAAAAAAAAAAGTTGTTTAAACTGAATCAGGAGAGAAATATGCACAAGTCAAGCACCATGTATTAGTGAAAACAGACCGAAACAGTTTTAAACAAATATATTGGTAGAGTTTGATGTGAGAGAACAGGAGTGTGGGGATTTTCACTGGAGAAAGTGTTACTATGGATTTTGGCCATAACAAGTGATGGTTTAAAGTTAAAATGCCTTAATGATGAATTGTTTCTTAGAAACACAGCTTTTTTTACTTCACATTAATTCACATAAACTAGAGTAGTGTAGATTATTGTGATGCTTTTATCAGCTGTTTGGACGGCACCCATTCACTGCAGAGGATCCATTGGTGAGCAAGTGATGTAATGTAATGCCAAATTTGTTCCGATAAGGAAATAAACTCATCTACATCTTGAATGACCTGAGTAAATGTTCAGTCAATTTTCATTTTTGGGTGACCTATACCTTTAAGCCCTGAAATGCCGCTCTTTATATCACACACCCAAGCAAAATGATAAATGAACCAGATACATCTCTTTGTATGAATTCAAAAGTGGTTGGAGAGAAAATCATCTGTTAATGCAAAAACGCTACTCATGCTATCAATTATGATTCGTGTTACTCATTATTAGAAAGGTGTACCTTTTAAAGTGTCAACTGATTATAGGTAGCCATTTTGTTATTTATTATTTTTTGTTAGATTGTATTTGTTATGCCCATTTACATATGGTTATCACGATCTGCTTCTAGTGTGAAGGTAAATATAATTGCGTAGCACTGCATCTCATCATGCTGTTTACTGGCATGCCTAAAAGCTGTCGAGATGTGCGTGGCGTCATTAGCATAGATGTGAGAGTCTGTAAACATGTTAATTGGAAGGATTCAGCTTGCCAATTGTTTCTCCTCAGATCTTTTTGAGTCGGAGACCAACCCAGAGTTGAAGGACAAGGGCATCAATGCTGTAAGATCTTGTTTGTCTAAATCAGCTCATTTATTTCAATCGCTTCCACAGCCATCTCTGAACTCCCTCTGACTGATGTTAAAATGATTAACACTTATTAAAAATATCACTGCATGTCCAGCTATAGTCAAGAGAAATGTGATATAAGTGTCTTCCAGATAGTTAAAGTCAATAAAAGTACAGGAAACTAGAACTGTCATTATAAATGTATATTATTTATATTAAAATAAATCATAAATAATTTAAATATATATATATATCAATTTCTTCAGTACCTAGAAATGGTTTGAATAGTGACATTTAAAGGGATATTTTGACCACAAATGAAAATTCTGTCATCATTTACATGTCGTTTTTCAAAGCTGTATATCGTTCTTTCATCTTTAGAACACAAAAGACGATATTTTGAGAAATGTTTTGTACATGGAAGCAAGTGCTCACCAAAACCGTTTGATTAGCAGCATTTTTCAAAATATCTTTTCTGTTCCACAGAAGAAAGAAAGTCACTCGTATTTGGATCAACCTAAGTGTGAATAAATGATGACAGAATTTAGATTTTTGGTTACATATATCTATACCATGTATGTATAATATAAGGGTATATGTATTAATAATGTGCACAGCACGTTCCCTGAATCATTTCTCTGGTCTTTGTGCAGTGGCTGCTCAAGCTGTTGGCTGTGTGAGCCTGTCCAGACCCGACACCTCAGCGGGACAGACCTGCTAGGCCAAGACTACTCTGACGTCATCCACCTGGGCCTACGTCTCCTACATCTCCCCCTCTTCTATCTCATTTGTGATCGGCGGACCTTTGCCCTACAGTTGCATCCACCCACTCACCGCTCCATCAGTTGGGGTCTATGACCATGTAGGGAGGATACAAAACAGGCTTTCGCATTTCATCCCCCTCGCCCCACCCTAACACAATGTGTGTGTGTATTTGCATTTATAATAAGCAAAACATTTGAGATATTTTAATAGGAATATTTTACTTGTAAATGAACATTCTGTCATCATTTACTCACTCCCATGTCATTCCAAAGCCATATGACTTTATTTCTTCTGTGGAACACAAAAGAAGATATTTAGCAGGATGCCCAAGCTGCTGTTTTAATGAAAGTGAATGGAGACCAGGGACAGTCGTGATCACCATTCACTTTCATTGTAAGGAAAAGAGAAGTTCGGACATTCTTCTAAATATCTTTTTTAATGTTCCACAGAAAAAAGAAAGTCATACGGATTTGAAATAAAGGTAAATGATGAAAAGAACAATACATTTAAATCTATATTTCAAAAGAATTACAGCACATTTACCCATTTCATTAGCAAAGCTGTCCATTCTAATGTTCATTTAGTGTGATTTAGTGCCAGCAAATATTGATATGTGATTAATCAAAATATCATGTAGTCATCGATTGCTCTAATTATTGGTGAGGCATTATACAGTCATAGATTTTGAACATATCTGCTTTCATATGCTTTTAGAAGTCGAGCAGGACTGTTAATGCATTTAAACCAGGGGATCGTTATTATGGTCATGCTTGTAACAAGGAGCCTAATTGCATTTTTTATAAATACAGCATGAGTTGTACTTCCTCCTCTACCGTTTTCCCTCTTAGGAACATTTATATATCTCTGCTCTGCCTTTAAAAGTTGCTTCCAAATATAAAAGTACAAGTCATAATCTTTCATCACGGGGCATTTCTATATTAATTTTTTTCTGTGCGTATACCTACACCTCCACACACACACACACACACACTCACACACACACATTGTTCAGGGAGCGAGATAGTAGCTGTGGGTATTAAAAGCGATGTCTCAGCAGCCCTGCACGCACTGGCTCTATTCTTATCGCTCTGACGCCACACACAGCGTAATCACGCCATCGCTCCCTCCTCCGCTACGCTCTCCCTGCATCCCTCCCTCCAGCTCTCTCTAGTAACTGTCTCATTCTCACAATCTGCTTCCTCCTCCTCGTGTACCTTGCGCTCGCTCACTCACACATGCGCGTATGCTTGCTCACACACACACTCACACGCTCATACGCTCTTGTCCTCTCTCCCGCTGCTCCTATTAATAGAAACCTTTGCTCACACAATGCTTCCTCCCTGCCGTAAGGTGACTGAACAGAGGTTGCCCCCAGCAACAGTCCAAGCGCCTCTGGAAACGACTAGAAAAAGCAGGCACGCACGTCCATCATTGCTCTCTCAATCACTTCCTCTTCCATAATTTTCCCAGTTACATCTTGTACTTTTTGTACCATAATCCCTTAGTGTATTCGCTTCTCTAAAAGCTACTCTTGACTCTGTTATCCCTGTCCGCCTGTCTTGCTCCCTGTCTGTGAAGTGAGCCAGAATAATTGTCCAAAAATACGAGAAAGCGATCCATTAGCATTTCCATTCATCTCGGCTGGCACAAGATTCCCAGAAGTATGCCATTTGAAATCTGCCGTCTCAAATCTCAAAATCAATTTGAAATCTGCCATCTTTGCTCATGGGCGCTCAGTTCGGCTACTTGTTTTTTGGACCAATCACTTGAGCCCCAAATGCCTTTTGGCTGATGGCAACACAAGAACGCTCACAAATCCTTGGGAGTTGACATGAAAATCAGCAGAGAACAATATGTCCATTTTATGCTTATAAGAGCCTTCCAGGAAAAAACAGGCACAGGTAAACATTGCCTATAATGAAATAATGGGGATATACAGACTATTCACATCATTTTGAATGGCCGTCAACGAAGAAAGATGCTTTTTGGGCCCAGATAGTATAGAAGTATTTCACATTTCCATGCTCCTCAGAAGCTAAAGTATAGTGGTGAATGGAAACTACAACAAATCTCATTTTTGTTTTACCATTTGCTCCAATAGCAAAAGAAAAAAATCCATGATAGCATTTCTACACTTTGCCGAAAAGGAAAAAAATATTAAGAGATCGGTTACGTTGGTCAGAAGAGAGAAAAATGTCAAATTTGCTGCCACTTCCTCAGCCTTTGTATTAAAAAGCAGCATTAACCATTTTCTGTAATTTGGCAATAATTTATAGTGTTATAAATGTACATTATTTAAAAAAAAAAATGAAAATATAAAAATTGCTAGATTTACAATGCTAATAATAACTCACCATCACAGTTTGCAAAAAGGGTCCATGGTTATGTGGCATCTACATTCTTGCATTTAAATAATATATATTTAGTCCACCAATATACAACTTCAAATTTACAATTACACCTGGGACACTAGGAATCAAATAAAACCCATAAAAGTTCACTTATCCTTGAAGTAAGAATAATAATACTGAATACCCACAAAATACGTACCATTCTAAAGCACTCATAATGTTTTATCAGTGATTTGGCTTAAAACAGAAGTATTAAGTATCCAAAAAACAGAAGGTTAGTGTTTTCCTGTGGACAGAATGAAAGTGTCTGCCAAAAACACAGCAGACCAAGGTTATTCACACAGACACAGTAGCTTCCTTACAAATTTTGCACTTGGCTTAAAAATAGCCAAGAAATATTCATTGCTTGTTTTTGTTGTTGTTATTTAGTTGGGAATTCATTTGTTGTGATTAATTATTATTAATAATATAATAGTAACAATATTAATATTATGTAGAATAATTATTAAGCATAAAAATGAGCTTCTCCCTTTCAACGAGGTGTGAAATCTGTCTCTGACACAATGACTGATGTTTTGAACCTTTTACTGCTGCCATTTTTCTAGCAAATGTTCGCTCCAATCAGATAACGCTGATTTGGTTGGAAAGAAATATATAGTTCAGTCATGAAACTCTAGATGGTGCAGGCTGACGGGGTGTTAACGTAATGTGTACAAGCCAAGATGACAGAAATATCAAATATGTGTGGAGTGTCCTTTCTGAGAAACGCGGACTAAAATAGCTGAACAATTAGAATCGGGTTTCTGGCAGATAGAACATTTACTTTGAATCTAATTACTAAGGAGGAAATAGGCACAGCTGCTTGCCGAACACGTGTTTGTGTGACATAGACTGATTCAGAATCGCAGGGTTGAATGAATAAATTCCTCCAACCTTTTCTCCACCTCCCTCCATCTGTGTTCATGTTATCATTCTTTTCTTCATTCCCCCATTGATCCCACTGGTGCGTCGCAGTGACATGTTTTGCCTCTTTCATTTCTTGCCAACACTTGGTCATTTGGTACAATTCTATGGTACAGTTCTATGGGGGTGGTTACAGGAATAGCTCCAGAGTTGTAGTGCAGTGTGTGTGGGAGCGTTTTCCAGAGTGGAAGCTCCTTAAGGAAGGTGCCTTTTTTAAGCAGACTGGCAAGATGCATTTTTAGACCTGGCTGGAGAACACAATACTACTGAAATTGATGTCACAGGATGTATTTATAGATATTTACATGAAGTATTTCATGGATTTACGGGGCAATTGTGTCATATTTTGAGCCAAAGAGTGGCTGTCACTGAGCGTCGCCATCCTGAGAATGTGCATCAGTCAGACGGCCGTTTTCATGCAGAATAGTTTGGGAGTCAGTGCTTACGAACAACAACAATATGGGTAAAATGTCAACTCTTTGAGTGTGAGTGCATCACACACTGACTAATGCGTCACTCAAACTGCATTTGACTGTTTGCCCCCACACTGACTACTTAGTTAAATGTGTTCACTTTTACGTCAACTCATTAAGGGCTGACGTATTAATGAAACGGGTGAAATTATTCTGCACTTTATAGTTTTTTATGCATGTTTTTAAAGGGGTCATATGATGCGATTTCAAGTTTTCCTTTCTCTTTGGAGTGTTACAAGCTGATTGTGCATAGATAAGATCCCTGAAGCTGCAAAGACTAAAGTCTCAAAACCAAAGAGATACTGATAAATTGCCAGGATGGTGTAGGTATTTTTGTGCCCACTGCAGTGAAGTGGCATGTTGGGAAAGAGTAAAATGGTTATATGATATCAAAGTAATAGGCTGCTAATCAGAAGGAAGGTTTCTCCTCACAGCCCTGTTCTAATTGCTAACTTACATCTTCTGTATTTATTGAATAACAACTACCGTAATTGCTTATAATTGCACTGTTAAAGGTGTGTTAATGCTATGTAATTATAGTCTGAAGTGTCTTTAGTTCAGTATAATGACACAAGTCCGGTGTTGCCTAAATTGCTGTTATTTAGACTATATGCATATCCCCAGTGGAACTAGAAATTCTGCCTGTTCATGTTAGGATTGCTGTTGTCGTTGTCCTAGACTACAGTATCTTTCACATCGACAAGTTTGAATGCTTTATATGAATCAGGCGATCAAAGAAGCTTCAAATCTCAGAGGCTCAAATATCAATAACCAAAATGCCATAGGCTAATCATTAGTAAATATCTCTCAGGCTTTTGTCTTAGCACTAAAGAAATTAAAACCAATGAGCAGTTTATGTTACCCTATGCAGCTATGTCTATCTGAAGAAATGCTTACAATTTCACCTCAGACTTAGTAAAAATTAGTGATTTACTCAGCTGTCATCTCCCAAATTTATAACCGCTCCTGCATAATTAAAATAGGGGATTATGTGATCTCTCTCCATGTGTGCTGAAATCAGTCTGGGACGTTTACTACAGCTATACAGTATACTGGTTTATATTTAGATCCAAGACATTTCACTTAAAGGGATAGTCCATGCAAAAATGAAAATCCTGTCATTATTTACTCACCCTCGTGTCATTCCAAAACTGTGTGTTTCTTTTGTGTAATGCAAAGAATATATTTGAAAGAACATTGGGAAACCAAACAACGCTAAGCCCCCATGACCTTAAAATCTCTTGTTTTATGTTACACAGAAGAAGGAAAATCATACAGATTAAATAAATATACATACATACATAAATTGCCGACATTGTTTGTCAGCCTAGTCCATCACAATGTGTATGCTCCTTTTTTTTCTTGTAGTACACTGGCTCCATTTAGCTGCAGATTAACACAGTTAATT